AAGTCATTCTCTCTCAACTCACAAGAATTTTGGATATCTTATTAATATTTTGATTGAGCTGTAAATTTCTTCTGCTCATGGACGGCACTTCATTGGTGCTTGTCTATTATATCTCGTATTTTCCTTTCAAAGAATCAATAGTTTTTTATAGATGAACGTATGCATTTTCTAATCCAAGTATGTGTTGTCTTTGCAGGTTCGAATTTTTTCCTTGATGGATGAACCTATCTTAGATGCCATTTGTGAGAAACTAAGGCAAAAAACATACATTAAAGAAAGTCGGGTTTTGGATTGTGGCAGTCTAATTGATAAGATGGTTTTCATTGTGCGTGGAAAAATGGAGAGCATTGGAGATGATGGAATTGTGCTTCCCTTGTCCGAGGGAGATGTCTGTGGAGAGGAACTTCTCACATGGTGTCTTGAACACTCGTCAGTAAATAGAGGTATGATTGGAAATGCTAATTTGAAATAAAAATTTTCAGTGCATTAGTCATTGTTTTTCAAGCTACAAAAGAATATATGGTGGAAAGCAAGTTTGTATAAACTTGTTCTTAACTGTAAAAAGAGGATGCTCCTTAAATAGACTAATTTAATTGTATAAACTCAATGCTGCTAGAGATTGGTGTTATTTGCTTGTTTTTGCTTACCACCAAACACGTCTAGAATAACCTTAGATATACCTTCTCAAGAACTCAGGATGGTGCTCATATTATGAACTAAAGGTGAAGACTACTTTTACCAAGCAGGAAAGATGCAGCTATGCTAATCTCTTGAAGGGATTGTAGCAAGAGCTAGATCACTGTCGCAGCATAGAGATGAAATGCAATGAAGATGCAGTTACACTAAAAAAAAATTATTGAGCGAGATAAAATTTATGATTTTCTGGCAAGTCTTAGTGTTGAATTTAACCAAGTTAGGATTTAAATTTCAGTAAAGAAGAATTGTTCTCTATGAATGAGGTAATTTCTATCATTATAGTCAAGGAAAGTGCAAGAAAAATAATGCTAGAACCCCGGCCAACTGAGGGCTCAGTTATGTTGACTAATGGGTCCAAAATCCATCATCAGATATTTAAGGAAAATGAAAAAACTGAATCACCAAAAACGAGTAGAGATAGTTGAGACAACCTGTAGTACACTTTTTGTTAAAAAACAAAGCATACCAAAGAAAAGTGTTGGAAATTGAATGGAAAGTCTTTTACCTCAAGTAAGGAGTGGGACATAAAGGTCGACAACATAGAAACTGGGAACAAGCCTACTTAACAAGTCAGGAAGAGGAAGGTAAGGGCAAAACCAAAAAGAGTTCAATAAGGAGGAGATTGAAAGGCTAAGAAATCTCCTCGAAACTCTAAGAAAAACCCACATGTATATGTTCATTGACACATTCACGTAATTTTCCTCTTTCATATGGTTTAAATACCATAAATAAATTATTTAAAAATTCCTAGATTATTCTCTTAGGAGTTAGAAATCCTATGACACACTTTTTGATAACTTTAGTGCATAAAGACATCCCTTGTCCTAACAACAGGAAAGTAGCTATTGCAGATGGTTACCAATCACTATTGCAGGGTTAGCTATATAAAGATTACTCCCACTTTTATTCTTAAGAATGTACTTCATGTTCTAACGCTATCTAGTAATCCTATGTATATAAATAAACTCTCTCATGATATGAATTGCAAAGTAATTTTTTTCCCTTTCACTATATATTTCATGGTCAGAATCTGAGGATAATGATTGAACATACTAAGGCAAATGTGTTTTTGTGTATCATTTGTTCACATACATCAATAAAATATAGAAAAACTAGAACCAAGAGCTACTAAATGCGTTTTTGTGGGGATACTCCTCAATCCAAGTACTTCCCATGTTTCTACAGATGTTATTTTTGTTGAAGCAAATCATGTTTAACTCAATGTTATCATCAAGTGAAGACCATAATGGAAGGTAAGGATAGAGACATATTTCTTCTTGACCTTCCTTTGCCTTCTCCATCCCAGTCGGTGTTTATATCCCTCCACTCACCTCTAAACCTAGAAAACCAGCCTGATTCACCTAAAAACCCAACAAACATACTCGACAATGATCTTGAACCTGTAACCAAAGATCATGAAATCTTACATGACACGATGGTCTCTCAAGCATTCTCAAGGAAGAGGAATCCAAATCCTGAACTAAAGCAAGTCCAAGCATTAGACTCTAATTTTAGGAATGAAGTAATTCTTATAATTTCTTGTCATCTGATATTAATATGTTCATTGCAATTCGAAAAGGAACTAGAAAATGTACTAAAACCATTTTATATCGATTCTCACATTTTGATTTCTTTGAAAAATTGTCATTATCTTGCGAAAGTTCCTCATTAGTTTAAATATTATATTTACTCCTTATTGATTTTTAGGAGAAAAAATAATAATTTTATTTTTCACCCTTTATATTTATAAAATTTCTTATCTATTAATAAAGAAATTCTTATTTTACTAGAATTCTAATAATATAAGATTATTATTCTCATAAAATTCTAATTATGTAATACTAAATGATTAAATAATAAAATATGATATTCAACATCCCCCCTCAAATTGGTGCAGGGATATTGCACATACCCAACTTACAAATCAAGTTCTGAAAGAGTCATCATGCAATTTACCAAAAACGTATGCATGCCGACTAGGCTCAAACGGCTCAACCCAACTCAAAATGACTCGATTCGGCTCTAAAATGGCTCAGGTTCAATTAATAAACAGTTTGGGTTAAGTTCTAAAACGGCTCATATTCGGTTTTAAAATGGCTCGAAGTCAGCTCAAAAAACAGCTCGAAGTCAAGTTGACTCGTCTTCTCCGGACAAACCTCTGAAGGTGCGCACAAAATGGAATGATGCGACCTTTTTTACCGGTATCTATAGATGTGTGGCTGCAGTTTTTGACCAATATCTTCAGAGTGCGATTACACCTTTTTACCAATGCTTGCAGATTTGCGGCTACACTTCTTTACCGACTACTACAAATGTATAGCTGTAGCTTTTTACCGGTGCCTTCAAAGTGCGGTTGCACCTTTTTACCGTCGCCTTCAGAGTGCAGCTGCACCTTTTTCTAGTGCCTCCACAGTGCAGCTGCACTTTTTTACCGGCGTCTGAACCGTCGCTGAAAATCGCCGTAAATGCCACATAACACATTGGCAGGTTCAAATCCATCTTAGGTGGTGATGAAAGCAGATCTGGATAAAAAGAGTACTAACCCAACATATTATGTTATTTTAGGGTTTAGAAAGAATTCTGAAATTAAAACTCTAAAATAGTTTTATTAAGTTATGATAACATATTGATTTTTAGGAGAAAAAATAATAATTTTATTTTTCATCTTTTAAATTGTTACATTTAGATTATTTATAGAATTTTTAACATATTAATAAAAAAATTCTTATTCTACTAAAATTTGAATAATATAATATTATTATTCTCATAAAGTCCTAATTATATAATACTAAATAATTAAATAATTAACTAATTAAATAATAAAATATGGTATTCAACACTTCTACTAAACTATTAGAGATATTATCCTGTAAAAAATGAAATAATGTTACTAATGTCAAAATGTAGGCATTAGAAACGAATATAACGTGGGAGACAGTGAATCTACCTAAAAGAAAAAGGTTAGTGGAATATTAACTATAAAGTACAAAGCATATGGTATTATAGAAAGATATAAGACAACGCTAGTGATCAAGAGATAGACGCAAACCTATAGGATAAACTATCAAGAAATCTTTGCACCTATTGTAAAGATTAATAAAATCAAAATATTGTTTTTTTAGTTGCTAATTATGATTCACAACTTCAGCAATTTGATGTGAAGAATGCATTTTTACATTGAGATCTTTAGGAGAAAATATACATGAAAATTCTATCTAGGTTTGCTAAGAATGCAGGACCCAATAAAGTATACAAACTTAAAACCACTATATGGATTGAAGCAATTGTCTAGAGCCCAGTTCAGAGGATTCACCAAAGTATTGCTAATCATGGGATACAAGCGAAGTCAAGGAGACTGTAAAGTACTCAAATTCAGGGAGGCCTTACAGTTCTACTCGTGTGTGTTGATAATCTAATTGTAATAGAAAATGATAAAAATGAAAGATTGACACTCAAACAATGTCTGACAAATAAATTTGAAATAAAGGAATTACAAAATTTGAAATACTTCCTAGAAATTGAGGTGGCTCGTTGAAAATAAGTACTCTCCTTATCTCTGTAAGAGTATATTAGCACTTTTTGAAAGACACAGGAAAACAAGTATGCAAACCTGTAAGCACACTAATGGATACCATCCACAACCTAGGATTGGTGGAGGAAGATGTTGTTAATAAGAGATGTATCGTAGATGAGTTCGGAAACTAATTTTATTTGTCACACATGAGGTCAGATATTGCTTATGCAGTAAATGTACTAAGTCAATTTATGTACAATATCAAAGAAATCTACCTGCAAGCAGCATAAAGAATATTACACTACCTTAACAGAACCCCAGGACAAGGCATTTTGTTCAAAAAGAATACTGGACCATACTTGAAGCCGTGATTGATGATGAGTAGTGGATAAGTACTCTCCTTGGAGGAAATCTTGCTACATGGAGAAGTAACAAACAGATTGTGATAGCCAAGTCAACTGCAGAATCAGAATAGTGGTACAAGGGGTGTGAGCTATAGTTAAAGATTATTGTGGAAGACATGAAGATTAAGTGGGATGATCCTTTGAGACTGTGACAACAAATATGCAATCAATATTGTGTACAATATGATACAACATAACAGAA